AACACAAAGAGTATTTATTTATTTCTGTTGTCTGGCTAACGGGGATCCCTGAAGCAACCTCTGGGCAGAGGTACACAAGCGGAGGTGCAGGCACCGTTACACTCAGTTCATGCCATTGGATCACCAGTCTGCTGTTCACACAGGTTTATCAAGGGTTATTCCCAGCTGCAAGGTCACTTGTTCATATTTAAAATCCTCCTCACCAGTCTTCTGCTTTTAACCCATTCCTCCCAACACATGTGAATAAAAGCCTCTCCAGAATATCTGAGATAATGGCTACTGAAAATTATTGAAAATATTTATGTGGAAATTCTAAAAATAAAATAAAATGAAATTTATTGCAAACATTTCATCCCAGGTTTAGTTTATATCATGATTATTTTTATTAACAGGTTTTACAATTTTAGCATAAACATGTTCATTATCTAGGACCAGATGTGGTCTTTGATTCTGAAACTGTGCCCTTTGCAAACTTTATAAAGCCTTTTGCATCTTGATAATTACTAGTACTTCTTAGTAGAAGCATTAGGAATGTTACAGTGATTCCCTCATTCTTGCCTAAAGTTTACAAGCCCTTCTACCACATGTGCAGAAATACCCAGATAGTTCCCAGAGATATCAGAACCATGCAGAACCATTTCAGTACTTCTGGTTTTCAGGCTCCAAATACTGGTTGCAGGAGCAGGGAGATCTGATCTGGCTCTGCAATCAACTCACACTTAGCAGGATTTATTAGCTCAGGCTTCAGCAGTTGCATAGGTCTGTACGGAGTCTGTACAGCCCTAGTGTGGATAAACCAGAGTCCAGATGAATCACCCTTGGGTAACTAGATGGGAATCAGATGAGCAGCAAGGGTTGCTGTTCCCTCATTGTTGAAAGAGCTCCTGCTGTCTGGACCCCCTCACAGACCACTGGGATTGTCCAGGGATCTCAGCTACCACCTCACAGCTCTGAATCATCATGTCTGCCCCCCTTTTTTACTTTCTGCTTTTCTTGGTGTAGAATCCCAGAAGATAAGAGGCTAATGTGTGTCTCAAACACTGATAGCCAGATGGCTGTGGAGCAAATCAAGGATTGTTGGTAATAACACACCATGAGAAAAAACAAGATGTGGCTGGAGAGGGGAGCCATGCGGAGGTAGGGCAGCATTTCTTCGGGGCAAACATCCTTGTTCTGGAGATAAGCACAACACAGTGCAGTGCAAGCACAGGAATGAGGTTGAGAAGTGGGCATGGACTGTAAGGGGGGGGAATCAAGACCCCTGTGGTGGTGCACACTCCCCCCTCCAGGCCACTATGATCTGAGAAATGCTTGTTAGGCCTTGGCCTTGACAAACAGCACCTGGGCTAAGCTCCTCTTGAGCTTATCAGAAACACTAGTTCCCAGGAACTAGTGCTGGCAAACAAGCTCCTGTTTTTTAACCAACAGCCTTGGAAACTTATTTTTCTTACCTGAATAACAACCCAAGTGGAATAACATTTTTGTTGTTGTCAAACTTTCAAAGAATTGCAGCCAGGATGGAAAATTACTATGACTAAAGCCAACTCTCTTGCGACCCTGTAAACAGTGGTCCAAGGTGAGACCCTTTGAGCTCTCCTGGACTGCAGCGGGCTGTGACCAGCAATCTCCCTCTGAGTGGGGCTTCTCAGAGACAGCAAACTCTCAAGTTTGCTATACTTGGAGGAGGGACAAATGATGATGACAGATCCTGGGCTGATACTCCGAACTCCTCAAGTCTCAACCCTTTGCCTGTTGAGAAGATGCAAAGGAATTCAAAGTGAGTATTTTACTGAATGCGAGGGGAATTTTTCACAGGTATATACCTTGTACAGACTCTATGTCTGTGTGCATGTGAGTGTGCATATGCTATAGCAAATGTGCTAGGAATGCTGCTCTCAGATTCTTAAATACTTTAGATTTGTAAGTTAGGCCTGTAAGTTACTGTTGTGGCATAGTAAATTCTATATGAATCCTTTGTTAAATTGTTTAACTTTAGTGTCATGGTTTAGGAATGGTATTCTCCAATTTAGTACTCCCGCTAAAACCACGCACTGCTTCCCCTCCCCCCCGCTCCAGTTGGAGGCAGAAAAGGCAAAGATCACGGGTTGAGATAAGAACAATTTACTGGAAACAGCATTGAGATAAGAAAATGAACAGTAACAGCAACAGCAACAATATTAATAACAAAAAATATAAGAAAATAAAACAATTTACACAGAAAACCTCCGACAGTAAACAAATACCAGATCGCTCCGTCCACCACATTTTCTCAACTGGAAGGAACCCCTTTTCCCTGGAAGAGAGAGTCCCTTTCTTTCCCCTACCCCCAGCAATGATGTGAGGTGGTATAGAATAACATCTGGGCCCTAGCCATGCCCCCTCTCAGTTACTGCAAAAATTAACCTAGTCCTGGCTGAAACCAGGACACTTAAATTATTGATTAAATGTTGTTAAGTTTAAGTTCTGTTAAGTTTAAGTGCTGTTAAAGTTAAGTGCTGTTGGGCCTTTAGGCATAAACAGTTGGTCAAGTCCAGGCTCAGTTTATAATGGGGGTCTACTCTGAACCTTGTGACTCAAGAGGAGGGTCTTTCCTATTCTTTTTATCCTTACCCTTTCCTATACTTTTCTCTTCCTCTCCCCCCTCCCCCAGCCTCCACGTAGATAGTTTGGGTTTATTTATGTTTGGATTGATGGATTTTGGATTTTTGTTTGCTGTTTCTCAATGTGCTTTAGCCACGTAGTAAGTAGTAAAGTGAACCTTGCCAACAAACTTTGTTGCGCTTTCACTTTTATATTAAACCTGTTTTTGCTGATATCTTTGTCGGTGATCCCTTAAGCGACCTTAAAGCACTCATTTGCAACACCCCCAAAGCCCTCTGATTCATTTCCAGAAAAGTCTTAAAGAATGGACTGCGCATGATAACTAATTTGCATAGAAAGCAAGGGAAAACCTATTTATAAATAGGTACCCCCACCAAACCTGGGTGGTGCCCCTAGCACCCTGGACATCCCATCAGCTGGATTGATGCTGGAACTAGGACTGCTGATCTCTTTTTCTCTCTCTTCCTTTTTAATTCATCTCTTTCTTTCTCTCTTTCTTTTTATCTTAACCCTTTATCCAAACCCCACTGCCCTGTGCTTATATAGTAGGTCAGGGACTAACATACCAATTTCCATGACAAGTGTGCAATTTACTAATAAAACTTTGTGAATTTTTGTGGACCCTCTGACTTCTGTTGTTCCTTTTGACCACAAGCATTTACGAAGTTTTGGTGCTCCCTTCCCCTTAAGGATGGGATGTCACACTTGGTCAGTTATGGATTTCTGGCAAGTGTTCTGGACTGAGGAAGCAAGCTGATTTGTTCTCGGTCGTTTCTGGGCCAGCTATGCTAACCCTCTTTTCCCCAACCCAAAGATCAAATAGGTTGGGATTGACCTAAACCTGTTAGAAAAAGGTTTTATCTGCCAAGTCAGCTTCTGCTTTTAAATCAAATACTTTGATACTCCAGTAGTAGATGAGATCCAGGAATGAATCTGACTGAGCCCTTCATCCTGTGAGAGGATGCATGCAGAGATGCCCATGCAGAGCCCAATGCAGATAGTGAGGTCTCACAGACATACATCCACCCACACCACTGCTCCAAGAGTAGGGTTAGGGCAACGAAGGTTAGCAGATGACCTCACTTAATTGTCTGAACTGATAGAAGACCAAATAGTAAACCAAAAGGAAAGAGATAACAATTACAGGTAAGTATAATGGAAATAATTTTTTAAACCTTTTAAAAACGGGTATTTCAACCTGTCCATTTAGCATCCTTAAAGATTCTGACAGACTGTGGACATCTCAAGTGCCCTGGAAGCGTCATACACTGTAACAGCGATGAAAAGGCATAATATAACGATGACCAAAGACCTTTGTAGTCTCACAGGGATGCAACGGTACTGTGACACAGTGTGGGGTGCTGCATCTTTGGGACATGCTGGTTTGCCTGAGTAGGATGGCAACACATAGAAGTGCCGTGGAACATGCAGGGTGTCACTGCCAGAGTGATGACATACCTCAGTGTGGGAACAGAGCGATGCAACATGATGCAACAAAGCAAGCAGTGCCAAGAAGAGGTTGTGCTGAGCCCCCATGTCCCATCCAGCCCTGTGGGGTTACAGCTCTGCATGGCACCCTGGAGGGAAAGGAGCTGGGCTACGCATGACAATGTAACATGGTGACACTGGGAATGGTGATGTCATTGTGGGCCTGGTGTCACACCAGTGACACTGTGGCACGTGCTCAGAGCAGGAGCTGAGGGCAGCAGAGACAGCGGGGCCGCATAGCGACGCTCCCTCGTGTGAACCTCTATCCCTCCGCAGAACGAAGCACTGCAGTGACGCCATTCAGGGGATGACATCACGGCACCGGTGGTGAGGTCACGACGGCGCTATCACACGGGAGCGCGGTGCCGTTCTGCTACGATGCCCATTCATGTCAGACCCTAACCTGTCGGTCCCTATCGCCCACTTTGCCTTGACATGGCAGCTACCGCAGCAGATCCCCGCCACCAGCCGCTCCTCACAATTGACCCGCACCCTTCCCGCCAACGGAAGTCGATAGCGGCAATCACGGCAACGCGCCGGAAGCGGCTTGCGATCAATTCGGCCGCAGAACGCTGTCAGTATTGACTATTCCTTTCCTCTCCACCCCTCCCCGAAGTGTCCCCGCTCCTCCCGAGGGAGGGAATTGTACGTCCCGGCGGCAGTGAGGCGAGGGCCGCGGAGAACCGAGCATCCAGATCCCGGAATTATTGCCAGAACTCCCGCCTTTCATGAATATGCAAATGTAAGGCGGGGCGGTAGCGGCCGGGTCCGGAAACGGCGCGGCTGAGTCACTTCGGCGGCGATGATGATAAGGCAGAATCTGTGGTAGGCAGCGCCGTTGTCGTCGTCGACTTTCGACGCTTGAGGAATCTCCCCGCGTTCGGTCTTCTTTCCGCCTTGTCTCCACCATCATGATGGAGGAGATAGACCGGTTCCAGGTGCCAGCCGTTCGGGCCGAGATGCAGCCGCTGGTGAGGGGCGGGTGAGGCCGCGCTGTCTCCGGGAGCTGCCGCCTCGCCATGGGGGTGTGTGCTCCCGTGCGCCGCGATTGTTGTGTAACGGCAGTCCTCTCCACCGGCATCTCCCTGGGTGCTGTCGGTAGCAAGGGCAGAAGCCACCTGAGGGGGGAAAGAGGGGCGGCGGGAGGGCAGGCAGGCAGGCAGTAGGGGCTCTGCTCCTGCATCGGTTGAAATGTCGCTTCTCCAAACGCAGCCACGTCCCGAAACGCCCCGGCCTGGCTGGTGCACGAGGCGAGTGTTTCGCGCCGCCTCGGCCAGTGAGCTCCAGCGCTGGGGAGGGGAGTGCTCTGGGGGAGTGGGGAGCGGCGATAAGATTGAGGAGCCCGTCCAGGTAAGGACGGGTAGCCAGAGCATCTGAGCGGCTGGAGCCGCAGAGGACTGGTGGGGTTTTAGTTGACTTTTACAATGTACATGAGAATTGGGCGATGTTTGTGCGCAGTCCGGTCTGAGAGGTGCTCCCTAGAGATGGGATATCTGCATGGGATGGGCGTTAAATACGCATATCTGGCGTGAGTAGTGGTATGAAGCTGCGGGACGCTCTCTGTGGCTGATTTTAAAGCCATTGCTCTAGTGGAAAAGTGCTATTAGCTACTCGTGTGAAAAATCCAGATGTTCTGCAAAGAAACATCTCTGTCAAATTACAGTTTTGCTCACATAAAATTCTTTATGTAAAGAAGCAATCTGTAAGGGGTTGTATTTTTTTCCCATGTCAGGGCATGTATTTTTCATTTTGGGATTTTTTTTTCCACTTCATGGACACAATTATACTCAGTTAATGAGCTCTGAAGAAGTTGACATAAAGGTTACACTACTACATGGGACCCTGGGAAATCTTTGCTTAGAAGACTTGTGGGACTTTGTGGCTGCATAACTGGGCAGGTAGAGTGGTCCTGGGCTCTTGGTATCTTCTGAAATGATGCTTATGAAGGATGGTCAGCTGGCTGGTAGCCATGCGAGAGTAGTCTTGGTGATGATTTCTTATGAGTGTGTAAATGCTTTGCTTTGATGCTAAAGGCTTGCTTGTGTGTGTTTTGCCCCAGCTGCATTCTGCAGAACACTTGAATGTGGTTATGTTTGTTTCCCATCTGGGAAAGGTTCCCTTGTGTGTTCCTCTCCACTTAATCCAGTCTGCCTCACTCTCCGCTTGAAGGTGCATTGTTATGTGCAACCTGGGACCTGTTGAAATACAGTTCACCTTGGCATTAAAGCTGGATATGGCTGATTCAAGATGTTGATTCCCTTTGGGCCCTGGAATAAGCACATTCCATCTCAGCATCCAATTGCATAAGACGGTGGTATGAAATATTTGCAGAAGTGGAAATAGCTTTAATAAAGTACTTGTACAGATCCTTTTGACAGCAGGTGAGGATAGGTTATTGGCAGCTTCATGTTAGCACTGAAGATACTACTCAGATTTCTAGTATATCAAACTGTACATTATTTAGAGTTGATATACCAGTCCTTGGTTTCTTGTTGCAGCTAGTGTTTGCAAAAAGTTGAGAACAAAGTAATTGTCTTGTGAACAGAAAGACAGTCTACACATTCAAATTACCCCTCAGCGGCAAGAAAACCACTTTTCTTATGGTGAGAGTGTTGAAAAATTGAAAATGTTTTTAGCCTGGTGGTGGTGTTTTTTGTTTGTTTTTTTTAGATTCTAACCTTTGTGGTGGGGAAGAAAACCATCCATAAAAGCTGATGGAGACTTGTTGCATGCCTTACTTGTTGTGTGTGTGTTTTTTGTCAAGGAGAGGCAGCATAGGTGACAAAGCTGGCCCTCTATTTATGTTGAGGGCAAGTAGGCACGGCAGTGAGATTAGGAAGTTTGGAAAAGTTGTTGACAGACAAAAAAAAATACACATAAGTATTTTCTAGAAACACCATGATAATAGTAGAGGGGTGGAATTGGCTTGTGCATGCACATTTGTATGGCCATGGAGTGACCAGAACCAGAAGAGATGGTCTGGTCCAGCCCTGATGTTGCAGGGTAGGATGGTATATTATGCAGCTGTCATAGTAAGCTTTGGAAATAGCTTTCCTTCTTCAGCAGCCAAGAATTAAGAAATTTTCACAAATGGATTTAACACTTGCATTAAAAGAGTATTCTGAACCTTTGTTTCAGGCTTTCAGTTCATTTTTAACTAATGGAGTGCATAGTGAAACCTTGTGTATGTTGGGGGCTGTTGCTATGACTAGATGTGTGGGATTCTTCTGCATGCCTAACAATGCTGGCATTGGGCTCAGAAGTGGGACAGAACAAGTCTGGTACAACATTCCCAATGGCTTTGTCTTTTTTGTAGCATCTGGTCTGTATTTTGCAAGTAGGGACTGGAAGCTTGCAAGAATCACTGCAGTTCAGAAGCTGGCTGAGGTTTATCATACTGATTTGCTTTGGTAACACAGTTCTGCCCAATACCGCTGCTTTATTCTGTTACAGTTACCATTTGACCCTTCCCTCTCCCCTCCATCCCATGCTTTTAAGTATAGAATAACCTTAGCATCTCAGGATTTTTTCTCTTCCCAGTATAAAAGCTTTCAGTTTCACATGGTCTTGGGGACAGATGGGTCATCCAATGTTGAAGGCCAAAGGAGTCTGGCAGTGTTTTCCCCATCCAAAGGGCTGAGGTAGAAGTTTGTTTTCCAGGCATAACCTGAATTGTTATGAACTACCACTAAAGCTATCAAAAACTGTTTTGAAACATGGTCCCCTGCTGAAAGGAAATAGAGAAGGTCCCTTGCCCAGTCTGAAGTGCATAGACTATAAGAAATATTTTTTGATCCTGTTTAGGCTGGAGGGTATCCTAGGAGAGCACTGGTCCCTTTGAGTCTGGCCGGTACCTGGCAGTGTGAGAAGGGTCCTGAAGTGAGGTTTGTAAAGCTAGGCTTTTCTTGAAATCCTTAAAAATTTGTGTTCTTGATCAGCATATATACTTTTGAATGTCTGTTCATCTGTGTAGATAAAGTGTCATCTTACCTTTTCATGTCTTCATGAGACTCCAGGATAACTGTCAGAGATCTGCCTAGAAACAATGTGACAGGCAGGCCTGCTGATCTGCTAATGTTCAGAATGAAGCGATAGGTATGCTGTTCAATACTGAAGAGAAGCCATTCTTAAAAAGTAGTCTGAAGCTTTTTTGAGCCCTTCAGCCTCCAAACCTGCCATTGACACTGGCACTATTATCAGCTGTCTGAAATCCTCCTGAACCTGTGTCTCTAGCATACACCAAGCACTGGTGCATACATCAGCATACAGACTGGTATATGATGGCAGATTGACAGATGATGGTGTTGGATCACATGTTGCTCCCATACACTGATGCAGACAGTTTCTGTTCTTAGCACAAAAATGGAAGTAAACATGCTCTTGACCACATGGCACCATTATGACTTTTCCAAAGAAAAAGCATCTGTCAAAGTTCAGCAGCTTCAGAGGAGCTTTGCCACAAACTTGTGAGACTTTGGCTTGCTTTCTCAAAGTGGCAGGTGTAACACAGTATTTTAGTTTCCCAATTCTCTGCTCATGTGAAAAGTGGGAGCTCTTTCTGGAGAAATTGGGTTGATGGTTCTTAGATCTCATTCTGAAGTATTGTGGCCAGGCTGGTTCCTTGCAGATGTTTGCCAGGCTGTGGGACCTTGGGCTGGTAGCTCTAGTTGTAATGACTACAGCCAATCCAAGGATTTTGCTTAGCCACATCCTACAGTGAGGTTGTTGGCTTTCTAGCTGAGATACAAATCTATGCTGGTCCTGGAGGTGTAAAATTTTCTGAAACTTTGAAGGATACAGAAGATGCATTTCTATACAGCTTTCTTTGAACATTAGAAAAGAAAAAAACTAGACTTTCTACTGGATGCTTAGCTTTTAAAAAGTAAACTATCATTTTAGTCAGTGGACAGTATGAGTGTTCATCATGCTTATAAAATCCACATTCATTATTTTTGGAAAATTTTGACTGTTTCACCCGAGGGAAGTGTTAAGACCTTTTTGTTTTGTCTGATGCATCCCTAAAATAGGGGGAAACCTGAAAACAGAAAAGAGTAATGAAGAGGCAAAAAGAAAGGTTATACCTGTAGGGCTTAGTAAGAGTATGTTAATATAACATTAGATCTAGTGTAGATACACAAGAAACTCTTCTTTCTAGAAGGAAAAAAGTTTCTAAAATTAAAATGTCATCCCTATGTATATTAATTTTAATGTAGCCCAAGGGTTACACAGCTACATGTTTTGTAAATGCCTACAGTACTATGGTTCTGAAATTGAACTAATTTAGATAGTGCTGCTTTTAGTTATACAACCTGTTTTTGATGTGCTACTGTGTCATTTAATAGCAGTAGCCTAAAAATGACCTCCCTGCATATTTAATTTTTGTCATTGGGATTGTCTTGTCCTTCCCTGCCCTGTATCAGGCATTAGGTGCAGAGGTACAGGAGCATTTTTATTATCCTCTCAGGCCAGGAACAAACTCCAGAACTGATTCCAGCACAGGCTTCTAGTCCTGGCTATGCTTCCCCCCTCCCTCCCCGCCCCTGTTTCTTGTGCACCTGCTCGCTGGCAGAGCATGGGAAGCTGAAAAGTCCTTGATTTAGAGTAAGTGCTACTTAGCAACAACCAAAACATCAGTGTGTATGATGCCCTACCCTTAAGGGGAAGGGAGCACCCAAGATTTGTAGATGGTCGTGGTTGAAAGGAATGACAAAAGTCAGAGAGTTTGCAAAAACTCACAAAATTTCATTAGTAAATTACACACTTGGCATGGAAATTGGTATGTTAGTCCCTAACCTACTATATAAGCTCAGGGCAGTGGAGTTTGGATAAAGGGGTAGGGTGAAAGGGAAGAGAGAAAGTAAGAGATTAATTAAAGAGGGGAGGAGAGAGAGAAAAAGAGATCAACAGTCCTAGTTCCAGCATCAATCCAACTGATGGGGTGTCCAGGGTCCTGGAAGCGCCCACGCACCCA